ACTGAGTTTGGCCTCTCCTCTTCCTACAATCTAGGATTGCCTCCACCTCAAACTCCTCCTCCCAGTCAATTTTTATCACCTCTGGAGGTTTAGACCTCCGTTCCGGAAAGGGGTCTGATGTCGCCGGCTTCAATAGTGATACATGGAAGATCGGATGAATCCTAAAAGATTCGGGGAGCGTGAGTTCGTATGCCACCTCATTGACTTTACGTTTTACCCGAAACGGACCCAGGAACCTAGGTGCCAGCTTCTTTGATGGACAGGACATTTTAAGATTTGTTGTGGCTAACCAGACCTGGTCCAACGGTTGCAAGCTTAATTCTCCCCTTCTCCTATCAAAGGCCCTCTTATTGTCCTCCTGGGCCTTTGCCATCGCCTCTTGGAGCATGTTGCTATTAGAGGATAAAAAGCTTAACATGTCTGCGTGGCGGGCCGGGACCGTAACTTTCGGAATCAGATCCGGTAAGAATACGGGATGGAACCCATAATTCGTGAAGAAGGGAGCTTGTTTTGTAGCGGAATGACTCGCGTTGTTATACGCGAACTCCGCTAGTGGTAGGAGGGTCAACCAGTCGTCTTGGAGAAAGGTGGTATAGCACCTGAGGTACTGCTCTAGGGTCTGATTCGTTCGCTCTGTCTGGCCATTGGTTTGTGGGTGATATGCAGAGAACGATAGCTTAATCCCAAGCGTCTCACATAGAGTCTTCCAAAATCTGGATGTAAACTGAAGCCCCCTATCTGACACAATATCCTTGGGGATCCTATGGAGTCTCACCACCTCCCTGATAAAAACCTGTGCTGTCTCAGGGGCCGTGGGTGTGTTTTTTAAAGGTACAAAATGGGCCATCTTGGATAACCGGTCTACAATCACAAAGATTGCTGTGTGTTCCTGGGAGGGTGGATTCCACAATAAAGTCAATGGAGATCATACTCCATGGTGTCTCAGGTATTGGTAATGGGTGTAATAGGTCCCAGGCCTTGTTCCTAGTAGGTTTATTCCTCTGGCAAATGGTGCAAGTCTTAACATATGACTCGCAATCTTTGGCCATATTGGGCCACCAAAAGGTACGCTGCAACAGTTCCAGGGTCTTGCGTACTCCAAAATGTCCTGCTAACGGGTGGTCGTGGCAGTATCCAAGTACCAAAGTACGGGTTTCCTTGGGAACCACAATCTGACCCTCTTTCCAAAGAAGCCCCTCCCTATTCACTAAGGGAACACCGGGTGGACCTGGCATACCTACAGATGCGGTCTGCAGTTTAGAGTGGAACTCAGATTGTAGGATCAAAAAATTTCCTGAGGATAGGATGGTGTCAGGTCTGGGCATCTCTTCAGGGTCCCCGAACATGCGGGAAAGCGCATCGGGCTTAGTATTTTTTGACCCTTGCGATGTGAAAGGCAAATCGCGAAAAGAAGAGTGCCCACCTGGCCTGACGTGGTCTTAAGCACTTTGCTGTCCTCAAATATTCTAGATTCTTGTGGTCTGTAAATATTAATATTGGGTGTACTGCCCCTTCTAGTAAATACCTCCATTCCTCTAGTGCTATCTTAATCGCCAGAAGCTCCCGGTCCCCGATATCATAATTCCTTTCTGCGGAAGTCAGTTTTCTAGAGAAAAAGGCCACCAGGTGCATGAGCTCCTTAATGCCCTTCCTCTGCGACAGAATTGCCCCAACTGCGTTCTCAGACGCATCCACCTCCAGGATATAGGGCAATGATGGGTCAGGATGGCTCAGGATAGGGGCCTCAGTGATCAACCTCCGATCAAAGCCGTGAATGCTTCTGATGTCCACTGGAAACGGACCCCCTGTCTGGTCACCTGGGTAATCGGGGAAACCAGGCCTGAAAAGTTTTTAATAAACTTCCTATAAACGTTTGCGAAGCCAATGAAGCGTTGGACCGCCTTTTTGTCAGTAGGTACTGGCCAATCTAAGCTAGCCAAGACTTTTTGGGGATCCATGGCTATTCCCGTGGTGGTGATGGTCAGACCAAAAAAAAATACTATGCTGTTCAAAACAGCACTTGTCTGCCTTGGCATATAGGCCATGTTTGCGGAGCCGTTCCAACACACACACCTCACGTGACCTCTATGGACCTCCAATGACGGGGAAAAAAATCAGGATGTCATCCAGGTAGACGACAACGAAGATGTCCAGATAGTCCCTAAACACGTCGTTTATGAAGTGCTGGAATGTGGCGGGCGCGTTACATAGGCCGAAGGGAATGACCAAATATTCAAAATGCCCGAACCTGGTACGGAATGCTGTTTTCCATTCGTCCCCCTCTCTGATATGGACTAGATTGTATGCACCCCTCAAATCCAGCTTAGTAAAGATGGAAGCTGACTTCAATCTTTGAAAAAGTTCAGGCACCAGAGGTAGCGGGTAACGATTCTTGACAGTCACTTAATTCAAGTCTCGGTAGTCTACACAGGATCGTAGGGATTTGTCTTTTTTCTCCACAAAGAAAATGCCAGCCCCAGCTGGTGATGTGGAGGGCCGAATGAACCCCTTGCGGAGGCTCTCGTCAATATACTCCTTTAGAGCCCCTAACTTCCGTTAAAACAGAGGAAATATCCGCCCAAATGGTATTTCCGAACCTGGGAGCAGATCAATCTGGCAGTCATATGTTCGGTGCGGGGGCAGGACATCTGCCCCCCGCTTGCTGAACACGTCCAAGTAGCTATGGTTGGCCGAAGGAACGACTTGGGCCAATTCTGCATCCGCATCCAGACATAGCAGGGCCTGCGGTGCCGGGGGCATCCTAGGGAGGCAATGCTGCTGGCAATAGGGCGACTGGAAGTGAATTGATCCTGCCTTCCAATCAATCTGCGGATCGTGGGCTTGTAACCAAGGGAGTCCCAGGATTATCGGAAACAGAGGGGATGCAATGGCATCCAGGCGGAGGAACTCCTGGTGATGGTTTGCCACTGTAGTGCAAATAGGAGGGGTTTCACGGTCCACCACCCCTGACCTAATACGGGATCCGTCAGCTAAAATTATATTTAAACCCACCTCTTTCGTTTGGAAGGGGATCTGCTGCTGAGCTGCGAAGTCCAGATCTATAAAGCAGCTACATGCTCCAGAGTCTACAATTGCCGTGGTTACCACAGTTCTCCCCGGCAGCTGAAGTGAAATAGGCACTGCTAAATAACTGATGTTGTTCCCATTCTTAGAAGTAACTGTAGAAAACACAGCAGAACACTTACCCATCTTGGCTGGACAGGTACGTACTACATGGCCTGCTTCCCCACAATAGAGGCAAAGACGGTTTACCTGACGCCTCTGGCGCTCCTCAGACGTAAGTGGAGGCCGAATCCTTCCTGATGGCCCGAGTCCCGATGTATCCGTGAACTCCTGATTCCGGTTGACCCGTAGGGACTTAGGCTGGGCTGTAACATGAGATGATCGCCCGGTTCGTCTCTGATCTTGGTTGGACCTTTCCCGCCTGCATTCCTGCAACCGGCGGTCAATCTGAATAGATAAGGTTATTAGGCCCTCAAGACTATCGGGCATGTCTACTCGGGCCAGCTCATCCTTCAATGGTTCAGCTAAACCCATGTGTAACTGGTGATGCAGGGCCGCCTCATTCCATTGAGTGTCACTACCCCAACGCCTGAATTCGGCTGCGTAGTCCTCCACTGCTCGGTGACCTTGCCTCAGTGTATGTAGGGACACCTCGGCCGTCGTGGCCTGCTGCAGGTCGTCATACAAAAGAGCCATTGCTTTAAAAAACGACGTTATCGTTCCTAACTGTGGGTCTCGGTTCTCTAGTAGTCGGTGGGCCCAGGTTTGGGGTTCATTCTGTAGTAAGGAAATAATGAACCCGACCCTCGCAGTTTCTGATGAAAACGTTTGAGGCTGGAGGTCGAAGTATAACTGGCAGGAATTACGGAAAATCCTGAATCTACCTCGACCCCCATTAAAAAGTTCCGGTGTAGGAACACGGGGTTCCGGTGCAGGTATCGAAACTAGTGTTTCCCCAGGGGTTTCTCCAGACTGCCTAGTAGGTGTGGCTAAGGTCTGTATGCGGTCACCCAATTCTGTATAACCCTCCTGGAGGGCCCTAACCCCCTCTGTGAGGATTGCCAAATATCGACATATGTCATCCAGTAGGGAAGTTCCCCTTCCAGGCTCAGTCATTGCCACAAGTGACACTATCAGACACCGCCCCGCGGGAACTCTAGTGATCCACAGAACGGGATTCCCCAGGATGCGGAGTCTAAGTCCCAGTCTGCCTTTTCACCAGAGCCCCTGATGGTGGGGATGGACTTGGTGCAAGACTGAAACCTGGTCGTGACCCCTGAGTGCACCCAACTGTGGTAGAGGGGTCCCTGCTGAGGGTATGTGGCAGGGGTGAGCCTGAAGTGAAGAGGCTGACAAGTCCAGGTCCCGAGTGGGATGGATGGATGACAGTCAGGAGTGAGCATAGTCAGACTAGCCCGGTTGGTAACAGTGGAAGCAGGTAGGTACCAAGCAGAAGACAGAGAGGAGCCGGGTCACGAGCCAAGGTTCAGCAACGGGAGGTCCAGTAATATTATAGCAACAGGCAGAAAAGTAGTCAGGGACGAGACCGGGGTCAGAGCAGGAGAAGGTCAACACAATTCAGGACAAGCAGGATCGGCAACAGGAACGTACTTCAGAAACACAGGAACAGGAACTAGACCTTGCGGCAACCTGATCACCGCCTGGCCAGTTTAAATAGTGCGCCCTGCACCGTCATTGGTGCCAGGCGAGTGCGCATGTTCCGCCGCGGACGCCCAGGTCCCAGTGCCTGCACATTAGTGCGCCTAGGCAATCTGCGCATGCGCAGACCTGTGCGCCGCGGCGAGTCCCGCAGTCCCTGACAGTAGCCAGTCAAATTCACGGTCTCCACGAGGACGACAGAATGTATTGTTGTTGAAATGCATAAAACACATTATACTCTCATATCTATGCCTGGCCATGGCAGCAGAGAACACGAGCATATGATGAATCAGGTCTGTGGACCAATACAACTGCAATTCATTTTTTTTAGTAATGCTCATGTTGAGGGTTAGGCCCCAAAAAAATATAAATTCGGAAACCGTAATGGGTTTCCATGCGAATGGTCTGGCAAGGTTTGAATTTTGGTTGGCAGTGATACATTGTTGTGCATATAAAAATGCTTTGATCCACAATCAATGCATACAGATCTTCCATAAAAAAACGCTCCAAAAAAATCAAGGGAAGTAGTTAAATTAGCTATTTCCACCTGAATTCTGGGTTGGGCAGTGAATGGGGAAAGTATGGGTGCTGCAGAATTTGTGGGCTGCCAATCGGGATTTGCAAGTACATCCGGAAGGATACTAGGGGCTCTACAGGCCTGTGTGCTAGTTCTTGGTGGTTGTGGGACAGTACTTGTGCTCGCCACCGCACCAGCTTGTACTGCACTTATGGGACTCACCACATTGCCAAATCATACTGCAGTGCTAGTATTATTATTATTATACAGGATTTATATGGCGCCAACAGTTTGCTCAGCGTTTTACAATATAACAGGAGACAATACAGCAACAATACAGTTGCCCCTTGGAGCTTACAATCTAAGAGGTATGTGAAAGACCAGGATCTACTAGATCGCTGGTACTCGCAGGTTCACCAAAAGGTAGCGCGGCACTAGTACTGGCACTCTGCTACATATGAGAGTCATCAAAGTTTACCGGCAAGTGCTAACAGAGATCAGGCCTGATCCCGCAAACACTGCAGTTTTGTGTACAATGTAGCAAGTGACAGTGACCTACTGGCACTGCACTTGCTGGTGGAGAAGGGGGGGAAAGCGTAGGGGCTAAACGCAGGTGCTGGGGCTGATCCCGCTAACGCTGCGTTTTTGGGGACGCTATACTAAAGAGCTGAGCAAACTGCTGGCACTATATAAATCCTGTATTATAATAATAATGTGAACGCTGGTATAGTGCTGATCTGATCAAAGATATTGATCCATTCAGACACTATACTAGCAATGTTAATATGTATGTATACTAGCAAGGTTTATTGTGTATAAGCGTCTTCCTGGCAATCAAGGGGTTAAATATGATGACTGGTGTACTGACGGGCAATCTGATGCCATCCGGGAGGGGCGTGAAAACCATGGGAGCGCGAATCACGTGTATATATATATATATATATATATATATATATATATATATATATATATATGATTTTGTGCACCTGTGCCACCCTGTAGCAGTATTTATGCTATAGGGCGGTCAGGAAGCGGTTTGTGTTTATGGTGCGTTACTTTAACTGACAAAAATTTACATATTTTTTCCCCACGAATTGAGCTTTCTTTGCTAAAAAAAATCCCAATACGTGTAAATTATTTGTTTTACGTGAAAGTTATAGCGTTTACGAATGGGGGTATAGATACTGGATTTTTTTTTTATATACTAATAATAGTGGCAATCAGCGACTTATGGTGGCAATCAGCAACTTATGGCGGTGATCAGCGGCTTATGGCAGGACTGCGGCAGACATTTGATACTGGAGGGAACTGACTTGGGGTCACCGACATCCCCAGTGACACCAATACAGTGATCAGTGAAAAAAAAAACCCACTGACACTGTATTAATGGCACTGGGGAGGAAGGAGTTTAACTTTTGGAGACAATCAAAGGATTAACTGTGTGAGGGGAGTGTTTTACTAGGGGGCGGGGTTGTTTACCTATCTGTTACACACTGTTCTGGAAGGCTGTGATCAGCAATCCCGGAACAGTGTGCTGAAGCTGACAGGGAGGAAAGCTCTATTGAAAACAATGCAGCCTTCCTCTCTGTCAGTGATTTCCGGCAATTGTCGGGCACCGGCAGGTAATCACCGTCTGGGACCCGGTTATTTACTCCAGCGGCCGCGATCGTTTTTTTTTAAACTACTTGCCAACTTCTTACCTGCATTTTGCGGGCGAGCAGCAGCTCTTGGAAAAGCGACATATTCTTGCGTCACTTCCTATTTTAGGGTGTGAACGCTCCTGCGGCCCCTACTGACCCCCCCGGTCGGTCCAGGGAGAGAAGAGAGAACATGGTACAGAGAAAAAGCACTACATTTTACACACACACACACGTTAGATTAGCACATTTAACCCTTTGATCACCCCGTTACCCAACCAGTGCCATTAGTACAGTGTCAGTATATAGAATTTTTCACTGATCACTGCATTCCTGCCACTAGCGACATCAGATAATGTCAGGGTCAGTAAGTTCCACACCCAGCCAGGGTCAGCTAGCAGGAGATTGACGCATGCTATCGCAGTCATGTTGTAAGTCGCTGATCACCGCTATTACTAGTATAGTGTTTGTACGGATCAAGATATTGATCATGTACAGAACTATACTAGTGCCTCCTTTGTATAGTGTCCCCAGAAATGCAATGTTAGCAGGATCAGCCCTTTTCCCTGCCAGCACTAGCCTTTAGCCCCTACACTGTGTTTTTCACAGAAGTTTTGTACCAATTGATTCTAGGCCAAGGCAATTTATATGCACAACAATACATGGCTGCCCACCCAAATTCAGCTCTTGCCAGACAATTTGCATGGAAACCTATCATGGTTTCTGCATTTAAAACTCTTTTGGGCCTTACCCTCAGCATGGGCATTACAAAAAAGAATGAATTGCGATCATATTGGTCCACAGACCCAATTCATCATATGCCTGTGTTCTCTGCTGTTACATATGTCCAACAGGGACCAGTAATGTACTGGTATGTCGCTGGACTTTGCCTGGTTATACCGGGATGATGCCTGCAGCTATAGGCATCCTGGTATCGTTTTTTCAGCTGGCGATCAGCTTTCATGTGAAAGCAATCCTAGTTGCAAATTAACTGCTGAATTGTTTTTACAAGCAGCTGGAAGGGACATCCCCCCTTCTGCTGCCTTCCATAGTTTTCTTGGGCTCTCCTGTTCCACAGGGAATTCCGAGAATGCAGCTGACAGTTCTGCTGGCTGACCATAGAGCCGCTTAGAGACCAGAATGGCTCCAATCATCTCTATAGTCTAAGAAATCGGAAGCTATGAGCATTTCATTACTTCAGTTTTGCAGGATATAAATAGCGCCATTTGAAAATTGGGGAAGCATCTGATCACACCGATCTTAGTGAGATTAGATAATGTAAGGGCAGAGGAGATATCTAGAGTCTGATAGACCCCAGATTTCTCAAAAAGAATATATGACAATGCCCTTTGTTATAAGCGATATTTGCATTCCCTGTGATAGCATTAAAAGTGCTAAAAAAAAAAATGAAAGGGACAGTGTAAAATTAATTTACAATAACTATAAAAAAAAAGCACTCTTGCTGCACCTGCATACGCGGTGACCCCATGCCGGTATGTAAACAGTGGTTGCACCATGCATGTGAGGTATCGCTGCGAACATCAGATAGAGGGCAGTAATTCTAGCACTAGACCTCCTGTGTAAATATAAATTGGTGACCTGTAAAGGCTTTTAAAGCATCGACTATTGATCATAAAAATGTATGTACTTTGTTGGCTTTACACAGGCATGCGCAATTTTAAAGCATGTCTTGTTTTTTATCTACTCAGCATAACCTCATCTTTTATTCCTTATCAAACAATTGGGCATATATTGTGTTTATGTGCATTAAAATTCTAAAAAGTGTATTTTTCCCAAAATATTTGTGCTTGAAAAATCGCAGCGCAAATACTGTGTAATGTAAAAAATTTCTACACCCACTGTTTTATTCTCTAGGGCCTCTGCTTTAAAAATATATAATGTTTGGGGGTTCAAAGTAATTTTCTAGCATAAAAAAATTTTTTTTCATGTGAACAAAAAGTGTCAAAAGGTTTGGTCTTCAAGAGTGGGTCTTGTGTGGCATAAGCTTCTAATATTGGCCCTGAAATGCCAGGATAGTAGAAGCAACCCCTCCAAATGACCCCTTTTTGGAAAGTAGACACTCCAAGGTGTATGCTAAAAGGCATGGTGAGTGTTTTGCAGATCTCATTTGTTGCCACAAGTTTTTGGAAAACGAAGAAAGAAAACAAAAAATGTATTTTTCACTTTCATTTTTTTTTTCAAAACCTTGTGTCAAAAATTATATCTGTAAAATACTCACCATGCCTCTTATCAAATTCCTTGGGGTGTCTACTTTCCAAAAGGGGGTTATTTGGCAGAGTGTTTATGCTATCCTGGCATTTTAGAGCCTCCAAAACTGTAATAGGTAGTGGGGAAGTGATATGAGGAAATATGCCCTTTGAAAGCTTGGAGGTGGTCATTGGATTTTGGGGGCCTGTATATAACTAGGCAGCCAAAAAGCCTCTCAGATGTGGTATCCCTATACTCAGGAGAAGTAGGAGAATGTGTTTTGGGGTGTTATTCCACATATACTTGTGGCATGCATGAGCAATATATCATTAAAGTGACAACTTTGTGTACAAAAAACAAAAATGGTCATTTTCAAAACATTTGTGGCAAAAAATAAAATGTTCCATGGACTCAACATGTGGCACGTGTCAGCGACTCTCCCGCCACTGCGAGTGTTGCAGACGCTCCTCATACGAGTGTGTGGAGGGCTGTGAGTTGGTTGTATTCTCCTGTGACCAGAGTCTGTTCATCTTATTTATATCCAGATGAAGATTTCTCTTGTATGACAGTTTTTAATAGTTAATACTTTTTACCTTTAATAAACGTACTACACTATTATTACGCCTTTGTTTTGGTGGCTTCATCTTTTGAGCCATTTTAAGGTTGGAGTAGTACTTCTGGTGCAAATCAACATAAAGTAGCTGAAATCGCCCAAGGAATCACCTTTACGGTTACCTGTCTATGGGATTGGTCTGCTGCGTGGTCTGGAGTGCTGTCCGATGTGTGTGAACCATTGGAGCCCCCTCTCCCCTTCCTGTGACCAGATCCTTGATGACTACCAGGGTCCAGATTACTGATGTGATATTCACTATATGTGCATTTGTTTTGCGCTTCTGGTAAGTGCAAGCACACTTCATATATATTTCACAAGAAGTCACCTGCACTGTATCCTGCCTTCACTGCGAATACCGGAATTCCTAATTTGATATTTTATGGATTTCATCCATTCACCATTTCACCGGACTTACATTTATTAGTGATTTTTGCATATACCTTTATTTTGATGATGTTTGTGACTATGAGATAATCATAACCAGTCGTGTTATCATTTTAGACATTTTTATCCATTCATCATTTCACTTGTTACTTTATCATTGTATGCACCATCATTTTTATGAAAGTTTTATACTTACAGGTTATGCCTTTTATTTACGTTTTATGTTAAGCGCTGCATATTTGTTTTATCATGGACTCAACGTGCCTTTCTGCAAAATCCTTGGGATGTCTACTTTCCAAAAAGGGGTCATGGGGGATGGTTGTACTGCCCTGGCATGTTAGCACCTCAAGAAATGTGATAGGCAGTCAGAAAGTAAAAGCTACGTAACTTCTATTATACCATAGTTTGTAGATTCTATATTATTCACACAAACCAATTCATATACATGTATTAAGATTGTTTTTTTTTTACCAAAGACATGTATCAGAATACATTTTAGCCTAAATTTATGACTATGAGTTTATTGGATATTTTTTATAACCAAAAGTGAAAAATATTGGGGGGTTTTTTTTCAACATTTTCAGTCTTTTTTTGTTTATAGCGCAAAAAAAAAAAAAAAAAAACCACAGAGATG